TTCCATCTCACCCAGGCACGGGGTATGCTGACCTGAGTGGGCACCTAACAAGGCCAATACATGGCACACAGGATACCTCTCCACACCTCTTCCCATTTCTGGTTAGAGGGGGCAAGCGCTTACTGTCATTGGTGCTTTTATGTATAAGCACTCATTTTCTACGGACTTTGGGACCCTCTAACTGGTGCAAAGGAAAAACCTAAGGCTGCAAAAGTTTCTAGACAGGGAGAGAGATAAAGAGATAAACTATGCTTCACAGGGCAAGGGGTTGAAGGAAGTAGGGGGAAAAAAAAAAAAAGAAAAGCCTCTGGCTGAACTTAGCAAAGTCATGGTCTCGATGCCTCCTTTACCTCCTGACACTGGTTTGCAACAGAAAATGCTACCCAGCTGGGTCTGAGAGGTCCCTGAAGCTGACGTAAGGAACCTAACCCACCCTTTTGTGAATAAATTTGCAGGTGTGTTGACTCCTATAGCAGGAAAAGTATTTTCAGGATACATCAGTAAGATGCACAGGGTAACACCGTTAAGATCCTGGTATTAGAGACACTTGTGCCTGGTGATCAATATATTACCTTTCAGCTCCAAATTCATCCTTTTCGCCTTTTTTTCTTTTTTTTTTTTTAGGGGCTGGGGATTTAGCTTGCACTGCCTGGCAAGCGCAAGATCGTGAGTTCGGTTCCCGGTACCGGAAAAAAAACCAAAAAATCGCCTGCTTTTTCTAAGCGGGTCCGGTCTCTGAATTATTTTTTCCTTTGCGGCTAGTGCTGAATATCTGCCAGTAGAGGGCGCAGAAGAGACACAGTAGGAGGAAAAGGGTTTTGCTTCCTGGCTGGGCTGCACTTCTGTGCCATACTCCTGACCTCAGCAGCTTCCCAGTACCCTCTGCTAGGGTATTTTATAATGGAAGGCCTCTGGTTTCCATGGGTTAGCACCGCAGGGACCTGTTCCACTTGGTAAGTATAGCACCCCATGATCCAACCACCTCCCCAAAGCTCCACATCTGAACACTTGAAATTTTGGGGGACATTTTAATCTAAACAAAGACAAAGTTTAAAAGCGCAGGTTAAAGAAGATTGTCTACCATAATGTTGGTGGATCCCGTCCAGTCCACTGAAGGCCTGAGTAAAACAAAAATGTCATGTTCCATGACATCCCCCTACTCTCAAATGAGAGCATCCTACTGTCTGATGGCTTCTGATCTGGAAAATAAGGTCTTCCTGCTGATGAACTTCAAACGGGGTCATTAGCCTTTTCTGGTTCTACAGCAGCTTCTAGACTCCAGACTCAAACTAGGACACTGGCTTTGCAGATTCTGGACGTACCAGTTTCCATAATCACATGAGCCAATTCATTATTAACAAATTAATATTAAAGTATTATTAGTTCTGCTTCTCTGTAGACCCTAATATACTCATCTTCCCTTGTGTAGGTAAGAATTCATTTTCATCATATAAACTCAACAATATACTTTTGTAGCCAGGTATGGTGGCACATGCCTAAAATCCTTGCACTCAGGATGATGCAAGAGGACTGCTATGAGTTCAAGGTCACCCTGTGCTATACAGCCTGACCCTGTCTCAGAAAAACAAAACAAAACAAAAAGCCAAAAAAATTTACTTTTGTAAAAAAAACCAATAGGAATCTTGCAAATATTTTTCATTCCTAAATCCTTTCAGAGATGGTCTGGGTTTAAGAAATAAATAAACAAACAGCAAATGAAAGGTAAGGAAGTGTTTGGAATGTACTTGTTCTGTAAAACAGCGACAGACCATTGTGAAAACTTGGCAATGTCTTTATACACATGAGCACTGTAAGACTGAAACATGTCTTTTGTAAATAATGAACCTCTTCTGATCAATACTCACTGCTCTGAAACCTGAAAATAAAAACATCCCCTTAAATACAAATACAGTGGCAGCTGGCAGTGTAGCTCAGTGGTGTTCAGTGCTTAGCACCAAAACTGAAAACCAACCCAAACCAAAATACAGGAGAAATGTCCATCACACACTGCATTCATCTTGTGTTTTGTTTTTTATTTTCCTTGGTACTGTATAACCCTGTTTCCTTAGCTTGTTGTTTTGTTTTGTTTGGTTTTTTTTTTTTTTGAGACATGGTCTTGGTATATTCCAGGCTGGTCTCCAATTTGTGATCCTCCTGCCTTAGCCTCCCAAAGTGCTGGGAGTACAGGCCTAGGCCACTATGCCTGGCTGTTTACTTTTAATTTAAAGCTGAATTATTATCTTATATTATCTCTTATTAAAATGTTACTTTATAGCTAACAGCCTAATTCTGATACACTGTTTATACCTAGATGTTTTTCCTTCTCTCACTGCCCCCCAAAATTTTATCTCTGTCCCAGGAAAACTAAGAGCTACATTAAACTGAGTGCAATTCAGACTAGGGAAATGGAAAAAATGGGTGACTCTACAAGTGAGCCTACTTGAGTCTTCTGAATAAGGAAATAAAGAATTGTTATTTGTTCTCCCAGGGCAGTTTTCAGAAGGATAGAGATTAGCATGTAATAGGAAACTTCTGCAATCTGACTGAAATCTTAGGAATTTAATTTAATAAATATACCATTTTAGCCGGGTGTGGTGGTGTAAGCCTGTAATCCCAGCACTCAGGAGGCTGAGGCAAGAGGATCATTGTGAGTTCGAGGCCACCTGGGCTCCAAAGTGAGCTCAAGGCCAGCCTGAACTGCATACTGAGAGCCTGTTTCAAACACACACACACAAATAAATAAACTCAATTGGTTCTATTGTTTTCCATTGGCAATTCTATTTATCATGCTTTATTCTATGCTAAATGATTTGTTTTATTTTTCTACTATCACACATTATTGTGGGTTTTTTTCCTTCTTCTCTGTTTACAAACTAACTAGAAATGCTGTTGGATGAGATAAGAACAGTCCAACAATGCACAACCACGGAGTTTGTGCTCAGCTAGAAGTGGATAAATGAAAAGATTAGGGGAAAATATCTCATGATTTTTTTTTTAAAGTTGTGCACTGTAAGATCATACTAAATTAAAGGATTTTAGACAAATCAGTGTTGCTGAATAATTTAAGCATCAGTAGTCATAGTTTCCCTACTGCAAATAAAACACTGGTATATTTGGGTGCCTAGAAAAACTTGTTTTGTTTTATTTGAGGTGGGGTTGTGCTTTGTTGCTTAGGCTGCCCTCAAACTTGCTATCCTGCCTCAGCCTCTCAAAGAGCTGGGATTACAGTTGTGTGCCACCATACTTGGCATAGATACATTCTGATTCCATGATAATGTAACTTTTTTCAGACCTCTACAAAATTACGTTCCTATAAATTTATTCTTCAAAACTAATAGGCATGTACAAGTATTCCAATAGTTGGGGGCTTCAGGGTCCTGTGTCTCTTGAGAGGGCAATGTTTTCAGATCAATTTGCTGTTGCCTCATGTGTGGTATGAGGCCCTGAACCTGTGATTTAGTCTTTTAGCTGTGTACAACAGCTGCACTGGGTTGTGAGAACATCCTGTGGAATAATGTACATTACAGTAGTTTGGAGCAGCTGTGTCCTGTAGAACTAACACGCAGGGCAAGTGTGAGCCACATGTTTCAATGTTTTTTTCTGGTAGCTGTACATAAAAAAGGAAAAAGGAACCAGTAAAAAATTATTATTTTAGTACTGTTTATATTTATCTGAGTATATAAAAATATGATTTCAATACATTAACCAATGCAAAATCTATGAAGATGATTCATTCTTTTGGGGGAACCTGGAATCAAACCAAGGGCTCCACAATGCCTAGCAAGTGCTCTACCACTGAGCCACATCCTACGTGTGTGTGTGTGTGTGTGTGTGTGTGTGTGTGTGTGTGTGTTAAAACTTGTGTATTCTGGGGCTGGGGATTTAGCTCAGCCGCAAAGCTCCTGCCTGGCAAGCGCAAGGTCCTGAGTTCGGTTCCCCGTACCGGAGAAAAACCAAAAAAAAAACAAACCAAAAACTTGTGTATTCTACATTACAACACATCCTGTGAAGTTAGCCACATTTCAAGTGTTCAGGAGCCCTATGTGGCTCATGACTTCCCCATTGGGCAGCATGTAGGTCTGAACTACTCTCTCATAAACGAGTTGGTTATTTGGCAGGCAAAACAGAAGACATCTAACCTAAGCTGTTGAAATCCCTGTTTCAGACTCTAGAGAATTTACAATGCTTCCTAAAGAAGGCATTGCCTCCTTTGGTATGTTGGATTTTTTTAAAAGTTCGAACACTAAAATAAAGTAAAAGTCTCCCCTCACTATTCCCAAACTAGCCATTCCAATACTATTGGCAACTTGGGCTACCATTTGGATACTTCAGCTTCCGAAGTCTGGGCAACGGCCAGGTCTCTTCATTGCTCCATAAACTGTTAATTATAATAACCTGTAGATTCTCAATCTCCGCTTTGCTTACTACTCATATGGAAGACATTTTCCTAGCGTTTTAGTTCTATAAAGAAATAACACTTTGTACTTTGCTTATATTTTCCTTAGTACAGGCTATCTGAAAATGTTCTGTACGTTATTTTAAAATGATGGGCCATCTCTGACCTGTTCTAGCTCTGTGAGAATCAGCTCCCCGTGGCCAGCTTCATTACCGTCGGTGACCCAAATCTTGTGAATGAACAGACTGTGAAGTCGGTTACTGCCTTCCCTGGCTGGTATTTCAAAGTCCAAGAACTTAATGCTTACCTTTAACACTGGTTAGCAGCATTCTTATTCTGGAAATCCAGTCTTCTGATCCAGTTGTCCAATCCGTTTGAATGTAGACTTTATGTTTGCATTTAGACTTTTTGTATTTCTATATTTTATACACTTATTTATATAACTATATTTACTATAATTAAAATACAGTTATATATGTATATACTTATATATTTATATATAATTTTATATTTGGTATACAAATATAAAATTATATATTATCTTATATTAAATAATAAATTTCTATATTTTATATATTTCCCCTAAAGAAAGTCAGAAACATACCATTACTGAATATATTAGGTGTTGCGTTCTCCCAGGGTTCGCGTCCCGCGGCGAAGGACCTCTGCCTGCGGGCAACGGCCGAAGGCTCCGCCCCAGAAAGGAAGTCCGAGGGCGGGGCCAGAGGGCACGACCTCACAGTCCCTGCTGACCCCGGGTTTTCCTGCCCCAAAAGGTACAGGCTACCACCTATCGCGCAGGCGCGGGAAGGGGCGGGGCCGAGGTGGCTGCACCGAGAGGCGATTGGCCGGACCTCAGCTGTCCCGCCTCTCGGCTTGCGTCTGTGGTCGCGCGTTCCTCTCAGAGTGGGCGAGCCGAGTCAGCCAGTGTTCCCGCGCGCTCTTCAGTCTGGCGACTGCGGAACGCCGGAAGTAATTTGTGGACTTGTGCGAGGCGTTGCTGCCACCGTTGCCCGCGCTCGGTACGAAGACAGCGTTTGAGGAGTAAGTGTGAGGAGGCGGGTAGGAGGTGGGGACTTAGGGCGTAAGGTGGTCAGCGCCTAGACACCCGCTGTCTTTCCTGTCTGCCCCGAGTCGCATGTGGACGGCTGCAAGGCCGTGGCCATAGTGGGGCGAAGGACTTGCGGAGCGGCCGCGGGATCCGCGAGGAGGGAGGCGAGCCGAGGGACCGCCCCAGTGGCTGGGTCGGTTTTGGCGCGCTCTGGCGTCCGCGCTCCCTATTGGTGCGCCGCGCGGGTGGGCGGGGCGCTGGCTTTGAAGGGCCCGGAGGTCCCAGCTGGGCGCTGCGGGAGATCTGACCTTTGCGGTCTCAGTAGCGGACCGCGGTGAGCTGGGGGCGGGGAGGTCTCGGGGTACCGCCTTTCTCGTTAAAAGGATACCGGCTTTGGGGACCCTGGTTTCTCCCTTGTACAGCGCTTTTGGACCCCGTCCCATGCTAAAGGTTTTAATCTAGGTGTGTAAAACAAATGGGGCATAAAAAGTAAATGAGAGTGCAGGGTTGCAGACCTGAGTGTGGCCAACGTGAAGGGTTAAACGTAATCGATCAGTGGCTTTCAGGTTCTTAAACACGAAAGCACATTTTATTTCCTAATCTAGGGCGCGGCCATCTATTTTTTTTTTTTTTTTTTTTGAGACAGGATCTCGCTGTGTAGCCCAGGCTGGCCTCGAACTCACAGCGATCCTCCTGCCTCGACCTTCCGAGTGCTGGGATTACAGGCGTGCACCACCGCACCCGGCTAGAGCCATCTAATTAAATAGAAGTTTCACCGGGTATTTTCAAGCCTTTTCTTTCCCGGTCTGCTCAGTTATGTTGTTTTAAACAGTGTGACTCATGACCCACTAAAAAATTTTGGGATCCTGGGCGGTTTCCCGCACTTTGAAAAACAACACCCCAGCTCCCTTTAGTGAGTGCTGACCAGCGTTTTCTTAGCGTGAAATGCAATAGAAAGTAACCGCACACCACACAGTTAAGTTTTGCTTCCTGAGCTTTTTGTTTGCATATATGTGTTGTGTGCTAGGGCGCAGTGTAAATGTGTTCATGTAAGACATGAGTCATGGTCAGATTTGAAAAACACTGCACTGAATAAAACTGTGACCACAGTAATCAAGAGACATCTATTGGAGGGCACAGACACAGCTAGGGGTCAGACCATGAGTGAGCCGTGAGTGTAGCACGTAGTCAACCACAATGCGTAGTTTTTTGTCTTCTGGTTTTCTGGTCTCCTGTTTAGTCCTGTAGTTGATGTTGGTGGTTAAAGATTCCCTGTTGATGTAAATGTGTAATCTCCAGGGCCAAGTTTATCGCGAGTTAAGTCAGCCTTTGAAGCAGCAGGGTTGGGGTGCTATTCTTAGGATGGTCTGGGCATGTCAGAGTGTCTGTGTTGTGCTTTCTCAGGCACCCATTTCTCAAAGGTTTGAGATCTCTGTATTCATTTTCAGAGCACTTTCTAGGAAATCATAAATCTACAGTACAATAGTAAGATTTTTTTATTTATGATTTTAAATTATTTTTTTTTTTTTTGGCCTGTTTGAGACAGGGTTTCTCTATACAGTTCAGGCTGGCCTTGAACTCACTTTGTAGCCCAGGAGGGCCTGGAACTCACAGCGATCCTCCTGCCTCAGCATCTCCAGAGCTGGAATTATAGGCATGTCCCACCACACCTGGCCTGGTATTTTCAACCAAGAAAAAAAAAAAAAAAATTCAGGGTCCGCCTCAGGTGCAAGCCATATTCTGTTTTTTAATTATTGGTCTTTTATGCTTCAGCAGGTGTATAATGAATCCCAGTATGAAGCAGAAACAAGAAGAAATCCAAGAGAATGTAAAGGTATGTGAGAGTCACTCGAATGGGTTGTAGAAAATATGAAGTTAAAAAATTTATTATTGTTATTTTTTAATGTAAGAAGTGAAAGTCTTTCTGTATTGCCTAAAATGGCCCCAAGCCCTTGGGCTTAAGAGATGCTCTTGTCTCATCCTCTGGAGTAATTGAAATTACAGGCATGATAAGTATTTTTGACAGTCTTGCCAAATTTAACCTGAGTTACTGGATTTTTTGATATTGCTCTGAATGGCGTTGTCCTCTTAATTTCATTTTTTGGTTTGGTCATTGCTACTGTACAGAAATAAACTGATTTTTGGATCTTGATCATGTGGCTTATAACCTTCTTAAATTTGTTTATTCTAATTCTGTAGAATTTTCTTTATGTAAGAGTATTAATTGCTTTAACTGCATTGTTTAATCCAGAACATCATCACTTTCTAGTAGATAATAGATCAACTATGTATTTTCTTTCCTCCTTCTTCTTTTAAGCAGGGTCTCACTATGTAGTTCATTTATTTATTTATTTATTTATTTATTTTATTTTATTTTATTTTAAAGAGTAAAAGAAGGATAACATAATAATAGGGGGGACTTAGCAAATTACAGACAAAATGGTAGGAAATTATCAGTGGTTATTGTTTTACATATTGTTATCTACAAAATAATTTCTCAGGAAAACAAATAGACAAATAATAGTGAGTTAGAGACAAAAGAGGTAGGAGATTATCAAGAGTTGTTGCACTATACTTTGGTATCTTCAAAGTGGCTTCTAAAGAAAATAAATAGAGCTATACATGAGTGACCTATTGAAAAATCATTAACTATTCTCAATGGTTGTTGTAGGAAACACAATAATAAACATACATCCATTTATGAAATAGGATAGGAACATTACAAACTTTACACAGTTATGGATAGATTAGTAGGAAAATATCAATGGCTGCTGTAGTACATGGTGGTATCTTCAAAGTGGTTTCTCAGGAAGACAGATATGCAAGAAGGATCTAATAAGTAGTTACAGCCTAAGGGTTGTCAAAAATAGCATATTACCTCCTCACCAGTGACTCCTTTCACTGAGGTATGATGGCTGGAAGGAAGGCCAGGATTGAAAAGAAGGACCGAGAGACTTGGACCTGTGTCTAGTAATAGGCTGTTTTCTTGTTCCTCCATAGTCATGATTACCCAGGACTCCTTGATGGAGATGACGGTCTGGCCAGAGGGAGAAGGCAGACCATGCCCCAAGCCCTCTCATTCCTGTTGGACTAACTGGTAGCATGGGTCTGAGCTCTGGGGCCTCCACCTCAGAGGGCAGACCGATCTCCAGTGGTCTCCTTTGCATGCAGGGCATGGCCCATGGGCAGTTCCTCTTGAGGTGACCTGGCTTTTAACAATGGTGGCAGATGAATGCAGTTGTCGAGTTCTTCTTGGAGCCCCCGGGAATCAGACCTGGGATCTGTTTCTCTTAGTGGTGCAGCAAAAGCAGCTGCTTTTTCTCAGTCTCTTTGTTTTCTCTCCTTGGCCTCCTCCTCATCATGGCTATAGAATACTGAGGAGGCAATTCTTACACTATGTAGTTCAGATTGGGCTTGAACTCACTATGTAGCCTGTGGAGGACCATCTCGGCAACTCTCTTTGAAGAAGGAGCAGTTGTCTCCATTTTGGCTAAACCTGGCCCTGTTTCCATGTATTGACATGTGTAGAGCTGGCTAGGGCTTTTCCTTATCCCTTCAGTTGGCTTTAAGTAATGCATATCTGTCCAGCCGAGGCCAGCCGAGATGCTGATGGTAGCCTTTGGAGTCTTTGAATAAAACCCAGGTTCAGCCCTAGGTGGAGGCTTTTGTTCCAATTAGCCATCATCGTGGCTGGACTTAGGACTTACCCTTGGCTCCTCATAACTACAAATATGCCTTAGTGTCTTTATTCTCGCCATGGGTTGCCCTGGAAGGAGTAGATTGGAATTGACTCACTACAGTTCCAATAACTCTTCATGGGATTGCAAATACAAGATTCTTGGGCCATGAGGAGGACTGGGACATGCTCTCATAGTAGCCCAGGCTGGCCTTAAACTCATAGCAATCCTCCTGCCTGAACCTCCCTAGTGCTGGGATTTTAGGCATGTGCCACCAGCTACTTTTCTTCTCTCTCTTTTCTGTTCTGTTTCTTCTCTTTTTTCTTCTCTTCTCTTCTCTCCTCTCCTCTTCTCTTCTCTCTTTCTCTCGACAGGCTTGAACTCACTCTAGTTCAGGCTGGCCTTGAATTCAACTGTGATCCTCCTGCTTCCGCCTCTAGAGTGCTGGGATTGTGAATGTGCACCACAATGCCTAGCATAGCAAATACCTTTTGATAGGTTTTTATTTGGTTTGATTTTCTCAGGATCCTTATATTATTTTTCTTGATAAATTGTGAATTTGACTCTAGCTTCCATTTAGAATGATGACATCTCACTGTGTTTTGGGTATCTTTAAAGTTTTTATTATGAAGATTTTCAAGTTTTCAAAGGTATACTCAATTGTATAATCTCTGTGTCTGAAACTTCAGTGATAATTATGGCCAGTCTCATTTCATCTGTATTTTCATTTACTACCCCATTCCTCCACTGGATTATTTTGAAACAAATTCCAGGCAAAACTATCTTGGACATGAAGAGACTAACGTTCTCTTTGGATCTGGTTTTGCTGGTGGGGGACAAAACAGGAATTTGAGTGGGTTAGTTTGGATCTCCTCAGTTTACTTATCTGTAAAATGAGAGAATTAGATTACAACTAGATATGTAAGTTTGAATTTTAATTCAGTATCTATGAATTTCTTGACATTTGTGTGCAGAGGTTGTTTGTGTGTTTTTGTGTAAATATTTGGGGGAGAAATTTCACTGAATATCCAGTTGTGTTCTAAAAGGACTAAGATTGGGGCTAGCTATAGCTCAGTGTTAGGGCACTTGCCTAGCGTATATTGAGCCTTGTGTTCGATTCCTATCACCACCACCAAAAAAAAAAAAAAAAAAGGTAAGACTCAAAACTTTCATACTCTGTAAGTCAATTATTCTAGTGCATAATATGTATACAGAAAAAAAATATAATAGGTATATTACCCTTATTTGGCCAGATTTTATAAAGCTTACATGTATAAAAGTTAAATCTTGGAAATGATTTTTTTTTTGGTGACAGTGACTTACCTGGCTTCTATGACTTATTAGCATTAAATATTTAAATAAATTAGCATCTCATTATTGTGGTTCCAGAGTTTTATTTTTTGTATTTGCAGACTGTTGACTAAGCTATAATCTAAATTATATCTGAAATGTTGGTGTAATATTTGTTCTTACAATAGTTGGCCTTTGTCCTTCAGTTAAATAGTGAGATAATAATCAGCAGTAGAAACTTTACCGTGGGAAAGGTGAACTTTGTCATGTGGAGTACAGTGTGGAATCAGTAACTTTCTCACGCTGGTATGGTATCATGTTCTTGCTAACCTTGTTTGAGTATTCACCATTGTTTGCTATCCCATGCTGGCAGTATAACTAATGATTTTTTGCAGAAATAGAGAGAGCTGTTAGATCAGGAAATATACAGGCAAGTATTTACATATTATGAGGAAGGCAATATGTTTCCCAAAACAGTAGCTTGGGCATTTTAGAATATTTTAGTAAGCCTTAAGCACTGATGTTTTAGCTGTCTCCTAATGAGTAGACTCAAAGCAAAACTGCTTCTGCAATCAGGTAATGGTTGAGGTGGGTTATCCACTACTCATGTAATTGGTTTCAGGTACAGTATGATAACAAGCATATTCCTTTTGTGGATACATATAAACGTGTTTGGGAATATTTGCAATTTAACAGGAACTCTGAGATGAATCCTTTTGCTTAGAGTAAAAAGTATTTTGCAGTGTAAACTAACTCTTTCCCCCCTACTCACCTCTTTTGTGAGTTCCTACAAATATTATGATGTTTAGTTTTACAAAAATAGAGTACCTGTCAGTTTCTAGTTTCTGTGTAGAAGGTCTTTTTAAGAAGAAAATAGATATTTTGTATTTGAGTTTTTGTTATATATGGTTTGAATTATTGATCAGAGCTTAGAAATTTTATTATACATTTGTTTTAACTAGATATGAGGTAATTGACAAAATGATTATATAGCAAGAGCATATATTGAAATGAGGAGCATAGGTACTTATTGTGTCTGGTTGGAATGATACGACCCATTCTTAAGGATTTCTTCAAACTTTATTATAGTTCGGGAAATGTTTGCCAGTTGAGTAAACCAGTGTTTTATTCATATGTAGCATTATAAAATTATATACCATGCCAAATATTAAAGTGTTCTTAGTATTTTGTTTTTAAATTTGAATAGGACTAAGACTATGTAGAAACTCAGTAGCTAGATAACCATATAGCAACTCAGTAACAAGATAATTATCTTGACTTTTAGAGTAGGCCTGTGCCAAGAAGAACGCTGAAGATGATTCAGCCTTCTGCAGCTGGATCTCTTGTTGGAAGAGAAAATGAGGTATGTGTTAGAGGGATAAGAGAGAGGGGATAACGCCTCTGAACAAAAAACATTTCTAAGATTTTCTTCTTCTGAAATACTTAAGTTGTTCAAATGTGGAAATATGTAAGCAATTATATACTCCCCAAAGAAGTGGTTTGATTTGATTGTTTAATTTGGAAGTTCAAAATTGCTGTGAATACATATGATAAAACTGGAATGATGTAATAATTATATAGTAGGAATAATGTTTGATATTTTGAGAATAAAATGGTAACTCCATTTATTTATACCTGTGAGTACATGATGAAATCATGGGTGAACAGCATGTTTAGACTTTTGTTTTTTGGTCATCAAATCATTTATTAATGATCTATCAGCTAAAAGTTCTTTCATTGTCCTCCTTTACCTTTGAAGACTTTTTGCAGGTTGAAAATACTGTCTTTCCATGGTACTGAACTTAAACACAGCATATAACACTACAAAAGTAATTTCAGCTAAACTTTAGATGAAGTTTAATTCATGCTGCAACTAAAATTCCTAACATGGTACTATATATATTGATAGAGTTTTTAATTTTACAATTTTTTGAAAGATGTCAAAAGAATAAAGATACTATGTATGAATTGTTTTTGGTATACAAATGACAGAACTACCTAGCTTTCTTATTCACTCAATCCAAGTAAATGTTTCCTTTACAGTTGTCTACAGGCTTATCCAAAAGGAAACATTCAAATGACCAGTTAACACCTAAGACTTCAAGCTCTGGACCTGTTATTGACCCAGAATCTAGTGAAAACAAAAATCTTGGAGGAGTCACCCAAGAAGCATTTGATCTTATGATTAAAGGTATGAAAGAAATACATAGTTTCATCTTAAAATTTTAAATTATAATGTAAGGTAAATATGTATTACTGTGATAGATTCTGCCTGCAGCCTCTTAATTTGGGGATACTGTTAGATATTGCATTTGTAAATATAAAAAGGCTAAATTTGGGCAGATGTGACCACTTATTTGGCAAAGATCCAGAAGTGAATTAAATATTAAGAGGACAGCAATTAATATGGCACTTTTTGTAACAGATTACTTTAGGATTTACAAGATTTGGAAATAGGCTTTTCAGAAGAAAAATAAAGAATAAATTTAAATAAAGGAATTTGAATATTCCAAGAGATTGCGAAGTAATGGAGCCAGTAAGAGCAAGGCTGAGGAAAAGAGTAAGATGAACGGAATGGTAGTAGAAATTAAAAATGGAAGCAAGTGATGTATTGTGGAAGATTTTTACTTCTGTACTAATCGTAGGTTATTAGATGTTTTATCACTGATGAGGAATTGAGACCATGAGAAGTGAATTGACTTGCTCAAGGTTGCAGTGACATTAAGGTTTATTCTTAGTTGCTTGGAATACAGTAAAGAAGAACATGAACAGATCATGGGGTTTTAGTAGGAAAAATCAGAAAATGTTGACGGGATAGAAATAAAGAGCCAGGTGTGGTGGTATATGCCTGTAATCCCAGCACCTGGGAGGCTGAGATGGGAGGATCACTGTGAGTTCAAGGCCAGCCTGGGCTACATAGCAAGTCCCTGTCTCCAAAAAAAACAGAAAAGAAAAAGAAATAAAGAAGCTCTTTATTATTTTTTAAGCTCTTTAATAATATTACAGAATAAATAATAGGATTTGTGATTCTTCAAACTCACTTGGTTTAAATTAATCAAGGGTCAGTTTTAAAAAAAAAACACACACAATGTTAAATACCCAACTTACCTGTATATCATATTGCTAGTATGACCATAAATTTCAAAGAAATTTTCACGTAACTTGAGCATATAGCTGACTTAATATCTTGAGTGGGATGTGTGTTAGGAATTAAAAGAACTGGAAAGGAATGCTGAATTCATTAAATTTGTTGTTGGCAATGGTTTTGGTGTAGTAATTCTTTTTTTTTTTGGTACGGGGACTGGAACCCATGACCTTGCGCTTGCCAGGCAGGCACTGCGCCACTGAGCTGCCACCTCCTGGTGTAGTAATTCTGAAAAAAATTTTGTGTATATTTTAGGGTTGAGCTAATGAGTAATATATTGAATGTTGTTGGGAGGAAGCTTCATAATATGGTGAATGGAATGGGGAAGGAAAGGAAGAGCTGTTGAACTGCAATTAGGGTATCAGTACAGACTGATGATCTTTAATAGAAGTAGTATATTTCCTACTTCTGTCACTGATAGGGCCTAGAAACAAGTGATCTTGAGTAGTAAGGAGCACACTTGGGATTCAGTTACTGGTTTGCATATACTGTTCTCTTTATAAGGGAGAAATCTGGTAGCTAGTATCTTATTCAAATGATCGGATTTAAGACCCCAGTTTTATGATAAAGTGTCATGTGCTTTCTGATGACACATTGAGGATACAAAATACTTACACAGTATTCCTTCCAAGAAAATGTTTCTCTTGAATCTGATGATAGATACAGAATTCAAAGTTAATGATCATCTACAAATAACTAATCTGGACTTTTCAAAAATATCAGTATTAGAGCTCAGTAATAGGGTGTATGCTTAGCATCTGCAAGGCCCTGGGTCTGATCCCAGAGGAGACTTGGGGTTAAATAGAAATACCCAAAATAAAAGTTGCAAAACTTTTATTTTAAAACTTTATTACTACATTTTTACAATTCATCCAGTTTACAGTCATCTTAGGAGTGGTTACATGTATATATTACAGCTTGTTTCTTTTTTTTTTTAAATCCCCTTCTCTCCCACTTCCCTGCAAAACTATTTATTTGTTGGTTTTCCTCTGGTGCCAGGAATCGAACTCATAACCTTGTGCTTGCCAGGTAGGCACTGTGCTGCTGAGCTAAGTCCCCAGCACCCCCCCCCCGCCGCAAAAATCTTAATCGGGTTGATATATGTATATTGGCTGTACTTCTACTGTAATTCTGAAGGATTGAAATCTTACGATATGGGAAAAGTACATTGCAATTTTTTTCTATAGAAGAACATTGTTTTTACAGTAATGATTTTTAAAGTTATATATGAAACATTAATTTGTTTCAGAAAATCCATCTTCTCAATATTGGAAAGAAGTGGCAGAAAAACGGAGGAAAGCTCTCTATGAAGCCCTTAAGGAAAATGAGAAAGTATGTATTAGATACAATTAGTACCATTGTCCCAATGGTCAGGAGGCTAAGGCAGGAAAATCAGTGTTGGAGGGCAGCCTGGGCTATATAGTGAGAACTTGTCTTAATCTCCTGTTCCAATAAAAGGTTTCTAGGATTGTTTTCCTTTTGATGTGTAGCATATTCAGTTAGAACAGTGTAATTGTTCTTTAATGCTGGCCTATGACTAGTTTGATTACAAAAATAACTCAGTTGCCAAAATTATCATGCAGAAATAATCCTGTTGTATTGAGAGCCAACTTTTTGCTACATGTGTCTATCAGTTATGTAGATGGGGGTGTATAATTTGGTTTATAGCATAACAAATCTATGGACTATTGAACTTTGTATTTATATAGCTTCATAAAGAAATTGAACAAAAAGACAATGAAATTGCTCGTCTAAAAAAGGAGAATAAAGAATTGGCAGAAGTAGCAGAACATGTACAGTATATGGCAGAGGTAATAGAGGTAGGTAATTTACTATTCACCTGATTCAAAGGCATCTGATTTTCTATAAAGTTGAGTAGTAGTATGATCAGTGTTTGGGATCTAGAACCAGATTTCTTGGGTGTGGGGTTTAGTCTTAGCTCCCTGCCTACCACCATTAAGTGTCATGAGTAGGACAAGTTATTTATCCTATTGGGGCTTCATTCTCATCTATAAAATGGGAGTAGTAATGCCTACATCTGAAAAAGATAAAGAAAATTATATTTCATAGTTGACATTTATTAAGTGCTGTTCACTTTAATTTTATACGAGAATGACATCAACTGGGGCTGGGGGTTTAGCTCAGCAGCACAGGGCCTGCCTGGCAAGCACTAGGTGGTGAGTTCGATTCCTGGTACCGGAAAAAAAACAAAAAAAAGAAAACCAGAAAGACATCACCTTTCATTTATAAACCTTATCTGGTACACTAAATAAGTTTGGTGGTTTTATCTGACTTTTTAAAAGTTGGAAGTACCTAATGTGTTTACAAGAATTGGCCTCTTAAGGTTAAAATAGGTTTTATGACGTGTTTGAGGGGCAAAAAAGGTACCTTACTGATGGAAAGTTTTTTGAGTCAAAACTTCCCTGGTGAATTGCAGCCTTAACATTTTAAAAGCTGTGACAGAATTAATGTTTCGAGCTTCTAATTGAAGTACTGTAGTAGCTCTCTTAACTGCCTTACAAGTACAGTGGTACCTCTGTTCATGAACTTGAATCTTTCCAAGATTCTGGTTACAAACCAAGTTGGACAAGAACTGAGTTAAATTTCAATGATTAGGCTGTGCGTGGTGGAGCATGCCTGTAATTCCAGCACTTAGGAGGCTGAGTCAGGAAGATCCTGCAAGTTCAGGATCCTGCAAGGCCAGCTGGGGCTACATAGTGAGACTTCGTCTCAAAAAAAAAAAAAAAGAATTCAATGGTTAGGTTCAGTGTTGACCTTATGGAGAAATTGATTCAGTTCTCATCCAGTCCAGTCTATAACCAGAATTGTAGAGTTGTAGAGGTTCCACTGTACTGTATTGTTCTGCGGTTAATTGGAAATTTAGAACATTTGTTTCCTCATTTCAGCTCATTAGAGAAGTACCAGGTAAAATTGTACTTTGAGCGACATGGTAGTGCACACCTGTAATCCCAGGGTGCTGAGGCAGTAGGATTGCTGCTAGTTTGAGGCCAGCTTGGGCTACCTAATGAGTTTAAGCCCAGCCTAAACTACACAGTGAGACCCTGTCTCAAAAAACAGAAACAAAAAAATTGTGCTTTGAGAACAAGTGGTTTGAAAAATTAGCACATTGTTAAACACTGATTTTGCTGACTTACTCTAGCATGGTAGAGACATTGATATTGATAAAACACATACTGTTTGTAAGTAAATTTTATTGAGGGGCAAGATGAAAAAGCTCTGAATACAGCATCGAGGGTCAGTTACATCACCGTACTGACAGTGGACTTGAGTTTAAGTTTTTACAATACATTATTGGTTTATTTTTTAAGAGACTGTCTAGTGAACCTCTGGGTAACTCTGAATCATCGGATAGCCTGGAATTTGATTCTGAAGAGGAAACTGCTGAGGATTGCGAAGTGGAAGACTCAGAAAGTGGCACATGTGAAGAAATCGTATCTTCTACAGATGCAAAGCCAAGTACATGAAGTTCATTAATATTAGACTTGAGATACACTGCCAATGTTTACCTCCACTCTAGTTCTGTGTAGCAGAGTAAATAAGTACATAATGCAAAGGCTGGAATCACATTTCTTTGTTTGACTCCTGGGACCCTAATATTGTATTCAAATACTATATATTTTTAATCTGTGTTTTATGTAAATAATATTTTCACTCACTCAGTTGTCAGATATGACTTGTGTTTATGATGTGATAAATAAACTTCAATTTCCTATTGAACATCATATATCTTAGAAGAATGAAGTATGAAGAGTCTATAGAAAAGGTGTCTATTTCTATGCTGTTACATTGTTTGCTTTCTGTTACTGTCTTGGAAGAAATGAGGGGAAGATGAATTTACCCCCATTTAGACTGAGATAACATATTTTAACTCTCAAGTCAAACCTGGCTGTACCTCAGACTTAACTGCACAAGTGACTTTCAGACCCCACTCTCAGATACTCTGAGTAGTTTTTGGAGTGGAGCACGACAATCTGTTTTCCACAAATTTCCCTGAGTGGAATACTGTCAAGCAGCAGAAATGAATAAACTGTGTAGAACTAAATCAGAGATAACTGGTTTGTGTACTACTGTGTGTTAGCAAGGATCAAGAGAGGTATATATGCATACTGTATAGAGATAGCTTCTGGAAAGTGAGGGAGCAGCTCCTTTTTCTTTGCTTGTACAAGAAATACAAGCTCCAACATGGAGGTGCGATGGAGGGTGTGGATATTGAAGGAAACCCCTAAGTACAGAGTCCACCAAAAAAGGAAAGTTTTTACATTTTTAGTGGGTTGCATGTATGCTTTTCCGTATCTAATATTTGCTTCCTGCAGTAGGCAGCTCCTGGTTGCAGTGGGGGTGACTTACCCAGTTGGTGACTTTGGGAAGATAATATATGTGGCACAGCTGTTCCTTGCTTTGGGGAGTGAGAGCTGGTGGTGTTCTTTTCTGCTGCTCCTCTTGGCTCAGGGACAAACTAAAATCAAATTACCGATCAAGTGAAGGGTAAAGACATCATTTGGGCATGCAAGTTCTCAAATTTTACTTCCTGTGTCTCTCTGTAACGTACTAGAAAATCTCTAAGTTCGGTTGTGAGGATGAGCCACAGAGAGGCAGGAGATGTATGAGAAATACAAGCTCCATCATGGAGGTATGATGGGGGGTGTGGATATTGAAGGAAACCCCTAAATACAGAGTCCACAAAAAGATGTATACACACTGCAGGAAAAAAAATAGTGTATTTTTTCAACAGATGGTGTTACCCTTGTATGGGGAACCCTAGAGGATGTCCTGTATCACACTGCACTGGCGGCCCTTGAAGAAATGGAGAGTGTATGTGCAGCAATCTCAATGGCCAAAGTTACCTCAGCAGCAGTTTGCCATGCTAAGTAGTGTCAAAAGCTAATGACCACCACTTTGAGCACCTCTTGTAATTGTAGAGGCCAAAGGTAACATATTTATCTCATGATGTTTCAATAAATTTACTGTTAAAATATTTATACCAGTTTTTCTTTTCCTGAAGTGTGTATGCATTTTTTTTTTTAGTAGATTGTATTTGTTAGCTGGCTGCTTGACAAATAGCTGGAGGCTTCTGGGCTCCATGATGCTGTGTTATCTTTAAGAAGAAACTAGACCTGACAGTTACTTATGTAGTACTGTTGCAGTATTACACATGCAGAAGCAAGTGTGAGATGAGAGTGATAACTGTACAGAAAATTAAGAACAAGGACTGGGCATGGCAGTGTGCACCTGTAATTTCAGCACTCAGGAGACTAATACAGGAGCATCACCTTGAGTTTGAGGCTAGCCTGGACTCCATAGTGCATTCAAGTTCAGCCTGGACTACATAACAAGACCCTGTCTCAAAGAAAAGAAAAATTTAAAACCAAAACAACTCCAGGGAAAATAGGTGCACAAAGAAGGAAATCATACTACATTACATATATCAGCCATGAAAAATACCAAAATAACCATCATTATTTATTTACTTAGAGTCTCACTATGTTATTTATTTATTTAGAGACAGGGTCTCACTATGTAGTTTAGGCTGGCTTTGAATTCAGTATGTAACCCAGGCTGGCTCCAACTTGCAAGATCCTGCTTCACTGTCCTGATTGCTGGGATTGTAGGTGTGCGACCACCATGTCCAGTTTGAAAAGCATTTTGAAAAAGTATTAATAGTGTTGTAAGTCTCTAAATGGGGCCTCTGATTTTCAACTCTCAATGTATTTCTATAAACGGTTCCAGTTTGAGAAGCTGCGCTACATAATTCACAAAAATCACTAAGGAGAATTGCTTAGCAAAACACAGGCTTTCTGCTTCTAGAGGTATGCTCAGAACATGGTGAATGTGGCTCTGAGTCCCACCCAGCAGAAAGGCTAGGATCTTTAATACAAGAAGCAGTGTGTGGGACCTGAGTGATGGTGTGTGTCAACTTGTTTGGTGCAGTCATTATCTGTGAGCTGTCATTGAGAGGAGTGTTCAAAAGTGTACTGTGAATGATCGATCACAAACAATGCAATAACGTGAACTTTTACCAATTTTGTTGGAAATGAAATAGCGCTATTGGGCTGCTTCAGATTCCAGCTTTTTAAGAAATGTCATCATAGAGATGAAACTTGGATTATATCCTGAGGCCAAAGTTCAGAGTTCTTCCTGGAAATCACCCCCATTCTCTTGCTGAAAAAATCCAGCATCAGGGTGATGTTGATTAGGATTTTTGGCATTGATGGAATTGTGCAAGCTCATTTTGTACCTGTGATGAAGTCTCAGTATTATAAAGCCTTATATTTTGTTTTTCCTTAAAAAATTTTATTTTCAGTACATTAGATGTATGCATGACATTCTAAAAATGTAGTTTCCTTTTTAGCAAAGTATAAAACAAAACCCCCAAACAGAATACATGACGTTTACAATTCAAAACCAAATTAGCAGACTATTAAATATTTACAAAACTGTTCTTTTAAAAATATAAGGTTACATGCAATTTTGTAGAATTGACAAAAGAATATCTCAAAATGGGAGAATTTTTCTTCATTCCTAAAAAGAAACTGTCCAGTAGAAGCTGTATTCAGCCTTGGTACTGGTGCCCTGTCTTTGTGTACATGTGAGGACTAACACGTGTGAGCTCAACAGCCTTCTCATGGCTGGAGCTGGGTCTGGGGACATTCCTCACCCCAGGTAGCAGGCAGGGATTTGGCCTCCACCAGCACAGTCTGTGGTTTCGTAGAATACTGCAAGTGTTTAAAGATGTTTGCTTTCCTGTGGGCCCTTGGGATTGTTCAACAGCCCCGCCTCTTCAGACCCTGTGGCTTTCACTTTTTTTTTTTTTTTTGGCTTTTCTCTGGTACCAGGAATCGAACTCATGACCTTGCGCTTGCCAGGCAGGCGCTGTGCCACTGAGCTAAATCCCCAGCCCAAATCAATGGATTTTTTTTTTTTTTTTGCGGCACTGGGGATCGAACTCACGACCTCACGCTTGCCAGGCAGGTGCTTATGCCACTGAGCTATATCCCCAGCTGACTTTCACTTTCACCTGACATTATTTGGGAGCCATGTGAGCTTTGGAAAGGACAGCCCATCCTGCTCAGTTCCCACACGCCCATCCTGGGGACAAGGTTTAGCAAGGAGACAGCTTCTCGTACAACCTTTAAGACTTACACAGGCACAGTGCCACCAGTTTCCAGGACATAACCTAGCAAGGCGTTGGACAAGACATTAGGAAGTAGGAAAAGGACTAAGGGGATGGAGCAGGGAGGATGTGACCCCGCTCCCACAGGGCATCATTATCTGGGTTGGGAGAGGGGCCAAGGCCAGCCTGTGTTCCTTGGGAACATCACAGCCAGTGACTTAGGCAAAGGTGCTACCTTAGGCAAAGGTGCTACCTTAGGCAAAGGTGCTACCTTAGGCAAAGGTGCAAAGGTGCTACTGTGGCTGACCTCAAAGTCCTGATGAGCAGACTCCTGTAGTCTTGCAGGGATCATAGATGATGCTGGTTTGTTTAATATCCAGCTATATATATGAGCTCAAGAAAATATTTTGTCTTTATTTTTATTTTAAGCGCCATCTTATAACTTGTCAGTGGTCTTTAGCAATTAGGAGTTTTAACATTAAACACTTTTCCAGTTTTCAATATTACCATGAAATAAAAAATTAGAAAATAAGGTGGAAAACTGAATATTTTCCTTAAAAAATAAAGGTTAAATAGTTTTATCCCAACATTATGTTCTACTCCATCTGCACATGCCATTGTCCCCATCCTTGGAGTCTCTAACACAGGCTCAGATGCCATGGGGTGACACCCACATGGCTATCACAGCACTGAGGCCAAGTTGGGCTCCAGGAACAGGTCTCAGCAGAGCCAGTGTATTGCGTGTCCAACTGGTGAAATGCTTTCAGGCTCCCTGACCGGATTGCTTTGGGGGAGATTCACCAGAGGTGATACTGCATGCACTTACTCTGCAGCACAGGGCTCACTCAGGTTGCGTATCTCTTGTTTTTGGGGGACAACCTTGTTGGAGAGGTCTCCCCCCGAATATATGCTTTCAAACAAACTGCAGGTTTTCTAAGGGCCTTGATGACAGACACAGCTGTGACAGTGTCAGGACTCATTACCTTGACTGTAAGTGTCACATTTCAAATAGAAGTTTCTCCTTGAAATTTTTGTTGTATTTCAGGTTAACCTCTAATATTTACCAAAAGAGTTATAAGGATAACAGCAGACAACTTTTATTCTTCTATATGGATGACTGAACAAAAAATTGAAATTTTTAATTGTATTAACTATTTTTCTTTTGCTATGAGACAGTTTCAATCAATTTCACTGTGTTAAGATTTATTTAAAATACTTCTTTGTTTAAAAAACCAGAGTTTAAAAATTTGGATTTCTCCTGGACCTGGTGGTGCATACCTGTAATTTCAACAGGCAGGAGGATCACTGCAAGTTCAAAGCAACCTGGGCTACATAATGGGACGTTCTCAAAAAAAAAACAACCAAACCAACCAAACGAAACAAAACAAAACAAAAAACAAAACAAAAGTTGGCTTTCAGCATATATCCAAGCCACTGTAATGGCCTTCAGAAATATTAAAATCATAAACATCAAGGAGCATTGTAAGTGTTCCTTTAACATAATATGGCAAATTCCATTCTGGTACTGTTTAAGACAGAGTTGTGTCAGTTCTCATTATTTACCATTTTGTAGTGTTTATAGTTAAGGGAGAGATCAATGTAACATCCCCTTAATTGCTGCTGTAATAAGCATCACCATTACTTCAAAACTGTGTGTCATACTGTGTACCATCAATAGAGAAGAATACAGAGGTTGGTTGATTCTGCATTTTATAGAAATAAAATTCTGAAATAACACTATAAAATTCTACTAAAAGCCTTTCATAAAAAAAGTAACTTTTTGCTTTAGTTTTCATGAAGTTGGGAAACATCTCAAATTTTGAAGCCTCGTATCACAGAACCTCAGGTTTTAGGATGTTCTTTTGACTTAGAACAATTGCATGAGATTGATTGTCCCATTTTAAGAATGTGATTTTCTTAACAAATATTCAACTGAAAAACCCAACAAGACCTCATTAATCAATACTTTAATACTGAAGGCTTTAATATTTTAAATTTTTTTGAGCAGAAAAGTCCCTTAAAGTTGAAGATTTAAGTTCCTAAATATTAGACCAAAATGTTCTCATTCCTGTGGGTTGAAACACAGAAGCCTAGAGCGGGGAATGTTCACTTCCTTCTTAAAAATGAGAGTTCTCAGGTCCAGGGTGTGTCCACCGAGTGTCTCTCTGAGTCTCGCCACTTTCTATTCAGTTCAAGTTCTCTATGTCATTTTAATGGCATGAACCATCAGCACACAGCCTAAGACAAAAGCCGACAGAAGAAAGTTTCAAATCTTGTCCTCCTGGGTTGTGGGACTGAGTTACTACTGAGTGTGACTCCACCAGCCTCAGCCCTGGGCTGGGATCCTGAAGGAGCCCATATACGACACAGCTTCCAGCTTCCCTAAGAATGAGGAGCACTGGCCACAGAAACCCACAAAGCTGAGTTCCTCTTGTACTGCAGGTGTTGGTTTATGGCGGGGGCGGGGGGGGGGCATGCTTTAAGCCACTCACAGGAGGTATGAGCTCAAGCCTAGGCAACTGGATTCCCTAGGACTCATGCCCTTAGCCATGAACTTGTTTAGAATGAACTATTTCTGTTTATTAATGTAGTCTAAATTTATTTGCTAGAAAAAAATTGAACATTTGGGACTGCTACAGCTGTTTGAAGGCCAAAGGACATATTGAAATCTCTGTTGTGGACTCAATCTTTGTTGTGGACTAACTATACATTGTCTGAGTGACTGCATTATTGACAATTCTTATACTAATGGGTCTTAGAGGAGTCTATCTCCCAAACTGGAGAGATCTACATCAGGCTATGTTCTTTTACCAAAAAGCCTTAAAAATCCCAGAGATTAGTGCCTAGACACCGTAGAAAAAAACAAAGCAAAACAAAATAAAATTAACATTATCCTTAACCCAGGGGTGTTCAGAGGCCAATGGAGGGGACTCCTTGTGAAGAACTCCAACCTTCAGTCTCGATCAGACTGTGTGTAGCTGCTCTGGAACTGTGTGTGAACCTAGAAGGACCAGCGATGTGATGATGATCTTTGGGAGACCGGGGCCTCGGCGTTGTCACTGAGGTGTAGGTGACTGTTATGGCTTGTGTCTAGCTATCCCCTCAAAGGCTCATGGACTCATAAATGGGGCTTTTCAGAGCTGGCTGGATCTAGGGTGTGTGACACTGGGATTAAGGATGTGTGGTACTAAATTAATCCACTGATTGGTAGCATAGTTCTGGGTGTGGATAATGAAAGCTCCATCCTGGGTGTGGATGGCATCAGACATGGAATATAAAGGGACAGAAAGAAGGTGGCTGTTTGCTGCCTCTTGCCTGTCCTACCATGGACTGTTTCTCCTCTGCACGCCATCCTTCCCTGGAACCAACTGACTATGGACTGAAACCTCTACAAACTATGAGCCAAAATAAACCTTCCCTCCTTTAACTTTAGTGTCTGAGATTTGATTTCAGTGACAAGAAAAGTAACTAAGACAATGACTGTGTCACCAGTCATGGAGAGGTCCATTGGTAAGTCTTCAAGCTCCAACCTAGGGTATTGGCAACAAATTGAGTTTGATGCATGTCTAAGCTAGATTTTCTGTTCAGTGTAGTAAGTAAGGCTGCATTGGATTAAAAATATCAAACTCAATAGCAGCTTGATGTCTGTTTTGTGTTTAGTTTTCCTTATATTTCCATGACTTAATAATTTCTGTTGATAAAAGAAAATATCAGTCTATGGAGTCCAGACTTTCTGCTGAAGGGATGAATTTTAACCTAAAAGTACCTCGTCAGTCAAAGTTCATGATGGACAGCTGCTTGCAGTCCTGACTGTGGTAACAGTGGGCCCTATAGTTGTAACAAGACAGATTCTTGCTTTTTTGGGGACTTGAACCATTGCTGTTGTCTACCAACGTTTGAGTGTGGTGCACATCTGCCATCTGGGCCAGAAAGTTCTGCATGGGCAGCACTGTGAATGTGGAATGGTGGCCCAGGACGGGGGCCCAGGGTCCTGCACCTGAGGGAAGGTGGAGCTGCCACCCTAATGTTGGTGTTGACTTAGCCCTTGTTGCACATGGGGCTGACAGGGAGGGAGGGGAACCTGAATAAGGACAACCTGGAGACCCAGTGCTGGAAGTAGTTGGCGTAGCTGATGGTCAGGCTGCTGGAGCTGGGCAAGGCTATGAGGGCGCCAGGGACTTCTTATGGTGGTGGTGACGCTGACTGAAGGTAGGAAGGTGCCCCCTGGAGTCAATGCCATCCCTGTAGAAATTGCTTTCAGGAAGGAGGAGAGGCTGGGGCTGGAGCAGGGAGCCAGGCAGCTGGGCAATGTGGCCTTGTTGGTTAAGGAAGTGGAGGGGTGGCTGCTGACGGTGACAGTGTTGCTGTTGGTGCAGACATGCTTATGAGGGTTTATTAGAGTATTTAAGAAATGATGTGCTTAGAAAGTGGTCTAAGTAATGGGTACAAAGTTTCATTCTTCATCATGACAGTGTTCCATGTCACACCTCACTTTTGCTACAGCAATTTCTGTCAAATGAAAACATTACAATGTGTCCTCATCCGTCATATTTCCCAGATTGGCACCATGCCACCTCTGGCTCCTCCTCAAAGTCGAAATGACCGTGAAAGGTGAACATTCTGAATCTATTCAGGACACTGAGGCAGTCAGGACAGCACAACTGAAGACACTCATGAAAGAGGACATCCAGAACTACTTCAGAAAGGGGCAAGAATGATAGAGTGTTTGAAGAGATGGCAAGGATTTTGATGGAAATTAATGGCAATGTTTCTTCTACTGTAATGCATGAGAAAAAATTTGAACACTTACTGTTTTGATCCCACCTCATAAATTCCGAGAAAATTTCCCAGGAGATTCCCCTGAAGGCACTCTATATAATGATGAATGTTACAGTTTAGGATCTAGGCTGTCTCTCAAAAGCCTCATGTTAGTTGGGCGTGGTGGCGCACACCAGTAATCCCAGCATTCGGGAGGCTGAGGCAGGAGGATCATTGTGGGCTCGAGGCCAGCCTGGGCTATAAAGTGAGCTCAAGGCCAGCCTGAACTGCATAGCAAGACCCTGTCTCAAAAAAGACAAACAAAAAAAAGCCTCATGTTTCAGAGGTGGGGTCTTCGAAAGTGGGGCTCATGATTGGATTATGGGGTGCTATACTCAGCATGGATTCATCCACTGGTGAACTCACAGCTGAGTGTGCTGGTAGAAGGTCACTGGGGATGTGACCTGGAAAGGTGTGTTCTTGTCTCTAGCTCCTCCCTGCTTTCTCTGCTTCCTGGCTGCCGTGGGCCAAGCACCATTTTCTCTGCCATGCCCCTCTGCCAGCCTGTGGTTGCCCTGGAGTGAACCGGCCAAAATAAACCTCTCTTCCTCTGCTGTGGGCATTGGGTATTTTGTCCCAGCGATGGGAAAGTGACTAAAACAATGAGATTAATGTCCCTCACAAGGTTCCTCCAAGAAGTAAGGTGAGGATCAGGAAACTGCCCTATTTTACTGTTCTCTTTGTGAAAGGTGGAAGCATTACATGAAGGCACAGCTCAACCAAAGTTCTCATCTGTGAAAGATGAAAGAACATAGTTCATTCTGATGGATACTGCTTTTGCTAGAGATGGTACAGTGTAATTACAAACACGCACAACTTTTTTCTTTTCTTTCTTTTTTTGGGGTGGTGGTGGTGCTTGGGGATTGAACCTAGGGCCTTGTGTATGACAGGCAAGTGCCCTATCGCTGAGCTTCACTCCTAGACCTTGGTATTGCCCAGTAACTCCCCAAACCATTGTTCCAAACAGTTACATAGGTAACATGTTTTCCAATGAGTTCCCATTTTACAAACTTTTTTTTTTTTTTTGAGACAGGATCTTACTATGTACTTCAGACTGGCCTTCAATTCACTATGTAGCCTAGCCTGGCCACAAACTCACAGAGATTTTCCTGGCTCAGACTCCTGAGTGCTGGGATTATAGGCATGTGCCATCATGCTGGGGACAAGGTAACTTTTGAAAAATTCCAATAATTTCTCTTTCTTTCTTTCTTTCTTTTGTCTTTTCTTGTCTTTTTTTTTTTTAACCACAGACACATATGGTATTATAAGAACCCAGCATAGGCTTTTTCCTCCATGAAAAATCAATAGTGAAGTATAAGTTCTTAATCAGCTTCAAATAGATATTAAAAAATAAGAGCTTTGGGCTGGGGATATAGCTCAGCGGCACAAGTGCCTGCTTGGCAAGCTTGAGGTCTTAAGTTCAATTCCCAGTACCAAAAAAAAAAAAAAAAAAGGTTTCATGATTTAATGGTAGACAATGGAGAGAATCAATCTCTCTGGATTTTGTATAAGGAGTAGCAAAAGTATTTCAGCTGCACAATTTTATAACTATGCATATTCCCCATTATATCTGTGTGCTTTAATATCTTTGTTTTCATTTTATTTCTCTTCAACTACCAAAGATAACACTAAAGAATAATATATCATATTTTATTATTTATTTCAGGTCTCTTGCCAAGATAATACAGTGGCACAGATAGCTGCATCGTGTAACTGATTTAGAGAAATTACTTACTATAAAGACAAATTAGGTGATGCAGCAGTTCTGCAAAATTCTCAGGCCATCCAAACCAATTCTCAGAAGCCAATATTTGCAAATTATATTTTAGAGCATTGTAGTTTTTAAGCTCTCCTATGAAAGATAAGTTATTGTACACTAAGACACAGAGAGCATAACAAGTCCAAAATTTAACGAGGAGTAGGAGGCTGCTTTTTCCTCCCTTGACGGAATATTCAAGAGGACTTTCCAACAATCCTGTAAGAATATGAATGAAGTTCAGGTGTTTGGTCATTTTCTGGCTCCCAGGGTTCAAGTACCACCAACACGCTACACCCTTGAGCAGCAGGATCTTAATTCTGGGTGCCACGATATCATTTTGCAACAAGTGAGCTACTTCTTTCATGTACTCAGCTGCAAGTTTCTCAGCACCTGGTCCTCCTGTAAAACAAGTAGTTGCATATCCAGAGGTATTCGGCATATCCAGTAACATTTCATAATCTCATAAATGTCCACATTCTGTGTGTATGTGTGTGTCTGTGTGTGTGTGTGTGTGTGTGGTGCAGAGGTCTGAATTCAAGGCTTCATTACACTCCCAGCCCCTGTGTTCACATTTTTTTTCCACGCAGATGACACTTTGGATACTTTGCGTTTTCCCCTTTCTCATGTTGCTGGGAAGATGCAATCATGTGTACTGATCAGCAAGGAAAAGTGTGGGAAGGTCACTGCCTGCCTAAGGTTCTACCCTTGATCCTTTAATCAAGTTCCACACTTTTTTGTCTTCAGTGCTGGAGAAAAACATGGAAACCAAAATATGAGAGCAGAAAGAAAAGGATTGCCTCAAAGTCAAGAGGTGACCTCGTAGGAGGTAGGAGAAAGCCTTGTAGGAGTTGTCCCTTGCCCCATTCTCACACATTTCGTACCTCAATTCTTTTGCAGATCTGAAAGGAACATGTCCTTAAAGGTTTTCTTCCTTTGGCTACTGACTCATCCTGGTCCTGGATTTTACCCACTGTATAACTGAGCCCCAGGTCTTTGTAGGTCAATCTTAAACTTCATCAAGGTATGCATCAAAAAGTCACTGAATGAACACAGCTTGATGGAGAGGAGGAACTGACATAGGTGGTTAGAGTCTAGGTGCTGCAGTTCTAATCCACTCTGGATTTCTCTCACTTCCATACATTAGCCCCAGAGACCCAGGAATATTCTATTCACTGCTAAAACTATAGCTGAAGCTGGGTGTAAGGTCTTTCTCTGATTTCCCACTAATACAGATGAGGCAAAATAACACCAAACTAAAGAATTCAGATCCTTTTTACTAGCTAGGTCTTCCCCTAAAGGTGAATACAGCTATTTAGGGAGTGGAGTCAGCTCAGGTGGTAGACACCGCTGTCTTTCCTTCACGGGGGTGGGGGGAACCTCAGGAATGTCCTGCCTTTTCTCTAGCTCTCTGCAGGTGGGTCTCCAGCCCTGCTGGCAGGAAGGATTTCTTTTACTGTTTTTTTTTTTCCTCAGGGACAAACTCTTTGAAAGTTTTAGTCTATCAAACTAAGCAATTAACTTGCCCACTTAAAAAAAAACAATTAATATGCTTGTGGCTTCCAGCTAAAACCTGTGATTAGGAGATGCTGAAGATGGTATAAAATTTCATTACATATCCAAAAATTTATTAGAAAAAAACGTTTAATGAGTTGGACTTGATAATTAGAGCAGCGTGTGCTTAATTAGTGTTTACCACTAATTTATTTTCTAGCAAAGTACACATTAATTGTTGCCTTTTACCGATAACAGCTATTGGCTTTCCTAGTAGCTATTTTAAGAGTATTAAGTTTTTACTGATGTGTCTAAGACATTTTCTATGTAATACATTTTTATATGATAAAAATAAAATAGCAAATACTTTTATTGTGCATTAGAATCATATTACTAGGTTGAAATTGTGTCAACTCAGTGTAGCCTGTGATGTTTTTCTATTACTGGAGACTTTTATTTTTATTTGCTTATTGAGATAGGGTCTCACCATGTTGCCCAGGCTGGCTCTGAGCTTCTGGGCTCAAGCAATCTTCCTGCCTTGGCCTCCTGAGTAGCAGAAACTATAGGTATGTATCAGTGTGTCTGGCAGTTAGTGAAAACTTTGGCAGGCAATTTCAGTATATATATATATATATATATACACACACACACACACATATGTATATATAATAAGTAACACAAATGGGAAAGATCTAACTAATAATTTATTTGGTTGACACCTTTTAAAACATGAGATTCTTCAAGAAAAAGTAGTTAAATCTGTAGTGGTATAAGATAAAACACTAATAATTCAAAAGAAATATTACTAGGGTTTTGAGAACAGAACTAAAAAAACCAAATTACAGTGTTCTAACAAGCTAAAATATCATGCAACACCTATTTTAACACAGCTGATTAAGTCAATACCTGTGAAGGCCAGAAGTCCAATTTTCTTCGCAGCTTGAGCTCTTATTTCAAGGGACAGAGATTTATTCTTCAACACGTAGCCAAGTGCTATAATTCTTTCCTTGTAAAAAGTACTATCAGTTGGAAGACTAGGTTCTTCTTCTTTATTAACAAAAGAGCCCTTAACAATGACACTCCAACATTTCCGGAGTTGGGTCCGCAGCCTGGAGAAATACCTACGTATTTGAACCCCAATTCGCATATATAAAGACTTGCGTTTTTCAGTCATTTTGTTAAATGGCCAACGATGCTTCAGGTAGCCAACTGGTAGTGATGGTTAAGAATTCCAGAACACATCACTTGGCAACACTAGAATGGAATATACAAACCAGGGGAAAGCAATATATATCCTAAATTCCTATTGAACATTTCCTGCAGTATCAACTAAAGCAAGTTTACTTTTACTTCCTTGGGACACAAAACCTCAACAACTAAATCCTGAACTCATCCTGGCCTTTGCACCTTTGGTTATGCAGGGCCTACTTGGAACTGTCTATTCCAACATGTACTGGGCTCCTTTCCATTGGTCTTTCATGGTTTTAAGACTATTCTGTTACCAAATCAGAGTAGATTTGCAGATTTTACCTGATTTTTCTGAGAAAATAGAAGTAATCAAAAGAGTACTTCTGCAACTCTGCATCCTATCCACCCATCTGTCTGCATCTCTGCTCCATGCTCTGACTCTTCCAGATGCTAAAGAGGCCTCCCTATCTGTGCAGATTTCAACTAGTTCCTCCCACCCCACTGAAAGATAGTGCTCTACAATTCTTTATGTCTTTATAATTTTTCCATCTCAATCAGATCCTTTGACATATCAGTAAGCATGCTGTATTTTTTTTCTCATTAAAAAAAAAAAACTCTCTGGGCCTATATACTCCCTCCCCTCAGCTACGGCATGTCTGTTTCTCTACTTCTGTTTGTAGCATAGCTCTTTGGTTGCCATACTTGCCATCTCAAGTCTTCTCTGGTTCTGTCTTCTTGGGCGGACTCTGCATAGGATTTTAAATGCAGCAAAACCCTGAAACTGCCCATTAATGCTTCTAATGAAGGTCTTTATCCTGCTGAATTCAATCACCAGACCTCAGCATTTGGCACTCCTTTCTCCTCAGTACCTATGTCCACCTACTAAGACATAACAATTCTCTTGATTTTCTTTTTCTGTCTTGCAGGGATTTCTTTGAAATCTGGGTGGAAGCCTCTGTGACCCCCACAACTCTTCCATTATATATGCCTAAGAACCAACATCCTGTGGATGATGTCAAGGTCTGCTGCCATCTTGAGCAGTAGCTAGGTTCATTTGAATCAAGGCTGTAGTGGTCTCCGAGTGTCTAGAAGACAGAACACTGGGAAAGGAATCCAGAGGAACAAATTCCCTAAAGTAGCCTCTGTGTCCCAGGCTTTCTTTAAAGGAAATTCTTTGAAACAATTTTATAATTTAACACTCTTCAGCCTTAATGGGTAGGATCCTATCAGATTCTGAGATGTCCTCAAGAATCTTTCCTGTTGTCCCAGCGGGGAAGGAAGTACTTGGCTTCTTTTTAATGGTGCTAACCTCTTTAACAAACCCATTTTTTTTTTTTTTTTTTTTTGTCTTTTTGAGACTGGGTCTTGCTATCCAGTTCAGCCTGGCCTTGAGCTCACTTTGTAGCCCAGGCTGGTGTCAAACTCTCCAGAATTCCTCCTGCCTAGGCCTACCCAGTGCTGGGATTACAGGCATGCACCACCACGCCCAGCTACAAACTCATCTTTTTTGGCCACAATTTTGATATGGTCCTTTTCTGGCCAAACTGCAAGTTTTTGAATCTCTCTTATTTGTTTTTCCTTCTGATTCTAATTGTACATGTGACTAAAAGCAGCCACTGTCTGAATGCTGAGCTCCCTTGAATTTCCTCATGGAAGTTAATTAGTCTGCTATCTTAGTGCAGTTTACCACAGTCTCAGGAAGGAAATGGGCAAGTTCTTCATCAGAATGTAACAGCAGTGGCATGTAGTTCAATTCCCACAGAATCCATATTTCCATTTGAAACCCCTGAGCCTGTCCTCTACTCTCTGCATTTCTATCAGTATTCTGATCTTCTGAGTTCCATCAGAATCACCTATCAAACTTCACTTACAACATTCTGGGATTTCTCTAGGCCACCTCTCCAAACCTTTCCAAATTCCTCCCACCAACCAATTCGAAGACTTCTTCTGAACCCGTCACCAGATATAGTCATAGTGATGGCCCTCATTCTTGAAGTGAACGTTGTGCGTTAAGGCAGATTTGGATCCAGCAACAGGATACCCAAGATAGAATTGGGTTCACAGCCATCACTCTCTAACAGCAGCAGCATCTCTCGCTGGCCAAGGTCAGAGGAGAAGGGTTAGTTACTAAGGAGGCCCCTAGACCAGGGCTCATACAAAGCAGAGTACTCACAAATGCACCAGTGGTAAAGCGCCCGGCAAACATTCTTCTACTGGAGGAGTGAAGTATCAGTTATAGACGAAGACTATGACACCCCATGGAATTAAATGTTATCAGAAGTCCACTGAACTTCTGGTTCACAAACGGATTTGCAGTGTCTGGTTTGAGAAACTACTTAGGACTTCAAAACAGAGTTTCGCTTCTAGAGCACAGCTATTGGTGCAAAAGAGGCTGGTCTGGTTGGCCTGTTTGAAGACACCGACATGTGTGCTGTCCAAGCCAAATGTGTAACGATTATGCCAGAAAATATGCAACTAGCACATCACATATGTGGAGACTGTGCTTAAGAATCCACTA